CACGCTTACGCACGCACGCTTACGCACGCACGCAAACGCACGCACGCATACGCACGCACGCACGCACGCACGCACGCACGCACGCACGCACGCACGCACGCACGCACGCACGCACGCACGCACGCACGCACGCACGCACGCACGCACGCACACAAAACAGCATCCCAAAACACCTGCACCAGCACCCCAGACTGCCCCCGAGCACCGTCAATCTTGCAAAAGTGCGCTCGCACCCTGCATGCCCCGCAGCAGCACCTCAAACAGCGCCCCAAACAGCACCCCAAAACAGCACCTGCACCAGCACCCCAAACTGCACGCTCCCCAGCTCCCAGCCGTCAATCTCGCAAATCATCTTTTCTTAGAACTTAGAACCCCTATAGCTTTCAGCTCTCTGGGGAAAAAGAAAAACCCGGGCCGATCCCGATCCCGAAAAACCCACTCCACTCCCCGACCTCTCTCTCAGCGATCGAGGCACATGTCCACTTTGGAGCCCTGACGCTTGGCCAAATCCTGACGTCTCCAACTTTCTTGCGGCGAGTGGCCGTGGGTCAACACCAATGGAATCCCATTTTGGGGTAGGTGAATTCACCACCCATGTTAGAACCTATTTTAGTTAGTGGGGATTGAGATGCCTTAAAAAACCCATCCAAGCTATGGTGTCCTTTAAGGAGAATTGACCTTACCTTGCTGACCTTTCCTTGCGGAAAGTAGGGACTGAGGGAAAGAACGGACTTTGGGGGTCCCCTTCAAGGAAACCACCACTTGGATGGTTCTTTTCGGGGTCACTGCATGTCTCATTCCCTGAGCCAGAATTTTAGGCCGGGTTCTTTTCGGAAAGATAGGAAAGGAAAACCCTGCCTCATGGCCTCGGAGCTTTCGGCTCCTGGGTCCTCCGTGGCGAAGTGGTCTCAGAACCCAGTCCCAACGTCCATTGGAGGGTCTGTGTCATCGGCGGGGTTCACCGAGAACAAACAGGAAGGAAACAAATTGGCGGGGTCCCCCGAGAAAAAAGGAAAAGAAGAAGAAAAAAAACATATCAGCCCACTGAACTGAGGTGACTTTGGTAAGATATGAGACGAGGCCTTCCGGCGTCGGGACATCGGATTTCCGGCCGTCAGAAAACGGTCCGTGGGAGTTTTAGATCAAAGTCGTCGATGTCCAAAGTTCAAAGGTTTCCAGGCACACACAAAAGGACCGACCAGAAGGGGCGGAAGATTTTAGGTGGGACTTCAACCAACCTCCCTACTCCGCGTTGGGAATGAGGCGCACCCCTGAGTCCCTGAACGTTGTCCCCTTTTTTTCATGATACCTGGCTTGCTACCTTTGGGTTCCGGACACACGGCCCAAAGGAAGCCTTCTAAAGCTTGCCTTCGCAGTCCACACTTCACGCGCGACCCCGACACTTCGCCGCGGAAGACATCGATTCAAAGGCGAGGTGCATCTTTTGGGCACAGGGCTTCCTTGGAAAAGGCTCCCGAGGTTCACACCCTGGGCCAAGACATTGAGAAGGCGAAGGGACCCGAGCATCACAAAAGAGAAGAAGCGCCAAGTTGGGGCGGCTTCGACTGGCGGTTTGTGCCTTGGAGGTTCCATTCATGGATTGCCTGATCGCAAAAGCGGTAGGAGACCCAGAATGGCCACAAGAAGCAGCGACTAAGACCAGACCCGACCGGTAGGATACTGGGGTCATCGGTTTCTGGGGGGTATCCAAGTCAGAAAATGGAATCGGTTGTTTTCCTTTAACCCACCACTGAAAGTGGGGGTGACTTTGATCATGGTAAAATAATGAGGCCAGGGATGTCTTCCGGAAAACTGACACTCGCTGTCACTCGCTCCCTCGCCCTCACCTCAGTCACCCTCACTCTCACCCTGACAAAAAACACGCCACGGAGAAAAAAAGAACACACACACACACATGCCTCGATCTCTTTCGCCCCAACAGAACCATCGCCTCCGACCCCCCGCTCGTGTCCAACCGAGCCAACCTTCTTTTTGGACCTTCGTGAAGGCACCCAGCCAAGGGCTCTGCTTGTTGCAGCCCCCGAAAACCTCAAAATGAAGAAAATCAAAAGACACCCCCCCCCCAAAAAAAAAAAGAACGGCTTGATCTGGGTGAATTATAGACAATATTTCACCAGCCTGAAGCTTGCGGTGGTTTGGGAGCTATTCCCAACATAAACCACCATTTGGGGTGAGGTCGTGTGAGGTCGTTATAATTCACCCAGGGTTGATCCAAGAACAGAGCCTGGAAGCTTTTAGGAGCAGCGAAAAGGGAAGCCCGGAAGAACAAGCTCCGTGTGACTCTGGTCTCGAGCCTTTGGGTGGTTTGCGGGGACCGGTTCCAAGGAAGAAAACATCTAGGTCCCTTAAAGTTAACATATTCAGCTCGCAAAGCATGCAGGGGTGTTCTTGATTTTCTGCTCCATGAGGAATCCTTCATGGCACGAAACAAAAAGGGGCCTGAAAAGGTAGCTTGGTCTGTTTGAGGATGTCACTCGAATGGACCTAGATCTAGGACTTTCCAGGTGCAAAACAACTCTGGCTGGGGTGGGGGGGGACTTTGATCACTCGAAAGGTGACTCCGGCAGGTCTGCCGGAACCCAAACAACATCCCTGAGGAAGCAGCTATTGGAGGCGCCGCCCCTCGTTTCCATGTGAATTTGCAGGGTTGCGTAAAAGCATTGAAAGGTTTATTGGGAGGGAGGGGAGAGGGAGGGAGCCCAAATAAGCCCTAAATAAGGCCTTAATAAGGGCTTAATAAGGGCTCCCTCCCCCGTACCCTCCCTCCCTCCAGCCCCCATGAGTTTATGGTCAAACCAAACAGAAACAGAGGTTTGGTGAAAGTACGGCCGGACTGGATACCAACGGCTCCGTCCGAAAAATGGGGCTCGGCGGCAAGGGAATGTGTAGGGCATTCATGTACCAAGACGTGGAAAAGGGGGGTTTTCCGGTGAGGGGGCGACATTACTCACGTTTAGACCACGCGAATATGAAGACACCAAACATTTAGCCTCTTCCGTCATGACGTGAATTGGGTTCAGGAGAACCTCCAACCCCATTCCCCCGTGAAGAAAGATTAGGTTTCTTTCTGGGAGCGAAAAAGGAAACCATGTTCTTACTGGTGCTCAGGAGGGAATGAGTTGGAATGACCCTTTATAAACCATCCCACAAGTGGTTTACTTTAAGCGAACAACCCCTAGGTTCATCCCCACATTCCCTGCCTATTGCGCCAGCAAGTTTTAGAAGACGGGAACCTGAAACCAGGTATCCCGAAAGACAGGACCTACATTGAATCGCTGAGCTTGCCTTGCGATGGAATGATTAGGACCAACAGGAGAAACCTTTTTGGGGGCCAGGACCATTTTATAAAATCGGAACCTAAACAAAAAGGAGAAATCTGATTTATCAGTCCCCAACAAGACAACCTACATTCTGAATCGGTTGTTTCCTTCCTCAAATCGGTTGCTTCCTCGCCTTTGGCAAATAGAATGATAAACTCATAGCATAGCTCCATTGCCTCGAACTGGTGGTCTCACTTAAAAACCTCACTCTAAGCAGCGTCTTGCTCCAATGCTTTCAGCGCCGTATGCGCTGTCCAGGTTGAAGCAGAGCCAGACTACAAGCTCAGTTGCTCTTGCACCTCGCTGCTGTCTCCGCCGACGTATGGATCACCCCAGTCACAACAGCCCCAGATTCCAGAATGGCAGCAAAAGCTCCGCCAGTTGCTTGGATGTGCTGGACGCTCCTCAGCTGCTCTTGCACCTGGCTGCTGTCTCCGCCATATGCTGGATCGCCCCAGGTCACAACAGCCCCAGATTCAACAATGGCAGCAAAAGCACGGGCAGTTGCTTGGACATGCTGGACGTTCCTCAGCTCCTCTTGCACTTGGCTGCTGTCTCCACCGTGTTCTGGATGACCCCAGGTCACAACGACCCAGATTCAAGAATGGCAGCAAAAGCTCCGCCATTTGCTTGGATGTGCTGGACGCTCCTCAGCTGCTCTTGCACCTGGCTGCTGTCTCCGCCTATGCTGGAACGCCTGCCCCAGGCCACAACCTCGCCCCCGTGGCCATGCCAAGCAAACGCCCCACGGGTGGCAGCCAGTTTGCCAAGCCCATCTCGCAACCCAGACTCATGCAGCATGCAAGCTGCTGGCCTTTCGCAGTGAGCCTCAAGCGGCGCTGGAAATGCTGCTGCACTGTTGCTTTCAATTCACTGATTGGGCTTTTTGCTGGGAGTGAGATGGAGCAACCATCTCCGCTGGGCAAGTGCACATCCACCTTCATGGCGCAGGAAGGTTCTTTTGGCCGTACTCAAAATGGCCAGATACGGATCTGAGACACAAAACGTGTAACTTAGAACACCCCAGTTTAAATGGTGTTAAAGAGGGGAATTGCAAGGGTTCAATTCCTAGAACACGATGCAAAAAGAGATCCTTCATGGGTGTTGTAACGTCACTGTAAGGACCGCCCTAGCTGTCTAACCGAAGCATTGCAACTGAAGTTCTTCAGCTGAAGCCAAAGCGAGATCAATGTCAGCGACTGCGTGTGCAACCGGACGTGCCGCAAGGCGGATCGTGGCTTTCGTGGTGCGGCATACACTCAAAACAAGCAGAGCTTTTACCCAAAACCGGAAAACCAAAGTGACAAATGAAAAGGAAACTCTGAAAGGACCAAGCTCTAAAAGGAGGTACCAAGCTCTAAAAGGAAACTCTGAAAACCTTACCCGAAGCGGATTTACCCTGTTTGGGCTTCATCTTTTCGGAAGGGCTCAGAGCAAGCCTGAGCGAAACTGCGTCTCCCAGCCAAGGCACGTAGCTATTCAGCCCCTCCTCGCCGTCCATCATGCGGCTGGTCCTCACAAGTGGCTATGTCAGCCCGCAGGGTGCTTGGGTGTGACTTTGTTCCCCAAACATTGCAAAGGATTCGGGTAAAATGGCCAGCCTCGCGCAGCCAATTAGCAGCAGAGCAAGATACACCAGAGCACAGAGCAAGTAACACGAAGGCAGTAGCACCGCATGTGCGCAGCAAGCACGAGACGCGCAGAGCAAAGTTGCCACAAGAGGACTCTTGAGCTTCGACAAGTGCAGTGGATGGCCAGACTGTGCTTCCGGTCTCATCCGGGATCAACATGAACCCCCGAAAAGGGTAGCCCAAAGAGTTTCATACTGGCAATACCCAGACAGATTGCAACCAGTGCCGCAAACGCCTCGTACATTGGTTCAACAAAGCGGTTTCTCTCTTCTTGTGCTGTCTTTCTACTCAACCATGATGTTCTGCATATCACTCTGGCTGTGTTGCAGGCTATGCTCCGGAGCGAGGAGTTCATGGCAAGCTTTGCAACAGGGATCCTTACATTATACAGCTGAACATTGCCTTGTAAATGGTGGTGTCCCTTTGTTTTGGTGGAAAAAGCCACGTTTCAAATGGTTGCAAAATGTATCTTTTAAGGAGCCCTGTGCAACACTACGGGTCACAATGAATGCTGCGGAGGAAGGATATGTGGGTATGGGTCAAAATTGAACCACCAGGGACCGTAGGTTTCGGTCCATTTTTCCATTTACCAGGGTTGCATATGGGGTACCTACTTTTGACCCAGAGAAATGTCCGAAATCTAGTTACAACAGACGGCGATTCACAAAAACATCGTTCATCGAAATGTTGAGGCGCGGATCGGATCCAGTGGCCGTGAAGAGGTGCGAGGAATATTCCACATCGAACAGCGTGAAAATATCTTGGTTGACGTTGGAAGGGGAGCAAACATTTTTTTCTTTAGCAGTTTAGTGGGGGGGGAACCCCCCCACTAAACCACAATCAGCAAAAAGGACCGTGTTTCCCAACAACAACCATGATATTGACACTTGCTCCTTTCTCTGACAGAACTCTTTCTGGGCTAAAGCGCAGCAAATTGCACGAGACAACCCCTCAACCAATTGCACCAAAGAACTCGCGATGCAAATGGCACAAAAAAAAAGCGAGAAAGCTCGCGCGAGGCATCTTGTGCCAGAAATTCGGTGAACTACATCTTTGAGGGCGGCGGCACGGTGGGACCAAACCCACCCTGCGCGAAAATTACTCGGACTGTGTGGGAAGCGGCATAACTTGCTGCGGTACCGGCGCAAGCGCTCTGTGGGGTGACCACCTGTACGACCAGAATGGCCCCCCTTTTTCTTTTTTTGTTTTCCTTTTTTTCCTTGGACCCGTACAAATGTGGTAGAACGGCAGAAAAAAGGGGTGTCGGTCTTTGGGGGTCTGGGACCTGGACGCCTGCAAGAGAAACTTGCGCAGAGAGCTTGCGCAGAGAGCAGAGCAACCCGCGCAAGGACCACCGGCGCAAAGAACTTGCTCCACTTCTTGACTATCTCAGGGTAGACTTAAACCCAGGGGTTCTTCATTGCCCCAAAAGGAACAGGAATCCTGGGTTTAAGTCCATCTTGGGGTAGTCAAAAAGTGGAACCCTGGCGCAAAGAACTTGCATGCAGAACTTGCGGAGATGGTCCGCAAAGAAACTTGCAGAGAGACTCTTGCAGTGTGGTTCTGGTTGTCGTTGTTGGCGTCGTTGTTTGTTGTTGCTGTTGTTGTTGCTGGCGGCGGCGGCGGCGGCGGCGGCGGCGGTGCTGCTGCTGTTGGGACAGGGGGCCGCCAAGACTTGCAAAGTACATAAAGCAGTCTCGCGACATTGGTAGACGGCTTGCATGGCCAGTTTCCCGTCAATCATCACGGCTGGAAAATCATCCACTGTCGTGAGCCCCGGACATCTGTCCAGAAACGTCAACATCAGGCAGTGGTTGTTGAAAAAAGACGAAATCGTGTTTGAAGAATCGCCATTCTCAGTTTCGGTGAGAAGTTAATACGTTGCTTGAAACAGGGCTTTGGGACATCGTTTGAACAATCGCGATTCACTTGCCTTGCTTAACTCCTTCACTCTGCCAGGCAAGACAACGAAGGCAACTGAAGCAGATCTTCCCGCGACGATGTGGGTGTGTTTTGAAAGGGGACCCCCCCCCCCAAAAAAAAAAAAGCAAGGTAAACAGTGTGTCCGTGTGTGTGTGTGGGTGCTTCCGTTTAAAACCAACCAAAAAGGGGCACCGAGCTTCAAACAAAGACACACCCATCTCCGTCGCCCAAAGCCTAGGGAACCTCCAAAATGGCGATTTGTCCTTGCCGTTACGCTCGTGGCCACTCAAACGCGTCTACTTCCCTTACGCTCGCCTCCTCGTGAGGCTCCGCTGCAGCTGGTTGACGTTGATCTCCACCGGGAGCCCGCTGGAACCTCTCCCGAAATCGGTCGACCCAAGCTTTGTTGCTGTTGACCCCCTGCAAAAAGTTTAACTTTTGGGGGTTAGTGGAAAACACCAGTATTTCGCAAAAAGTTAAAGTCTAAAGATCCAACCCAATAGCAGTCAAGCAAGGGGCGGCGCGTCTGTCGGGAAGCCAAAGGAAACTGGTTCCATTTTCACTGTTCCACCCAAAAAAGAATCGTGGTTGCTCTTTTTGGGCGTCCCTTTGAAAGCCACAAACATGGGAAAGGGGGGTACCCTCAAAGAAACACGGGTTTGGTGTTTCTCAAGAAATTTGGGACCGACTCCTGCAGGTGGTTGGATTTTCGGTTTTTTTTGAAGGCCCAAATCGAGGCAGAGCCCTATGGTGTCAGAATAAAACCCATCTAGACCAGTCCCATCTCTTGTCAACCAGGCAAAACTTGTTAAAAAAAAAAAAAAAAAAAAAAAAAAAAAAAAAAAAAAAAAAAAAAAAAAAACGCAAATGGTCAGAGACGCCTTTCGAGGAAAAGCAAAAACCTACACTCTGCACCACGCCCCTCCGTCGCCAGAAAAAAATGTTTCAACCTCGCCAGCTGGGAGCTCTGGGCTCCGAGATGACGTGAACCTCCCCATCCCCCGAAGAAAAAATCGGTTCTAAGACGGGTGGTGTACCTACCTCCCCCCCGAAAAAAGCGGAACCCTGAAATTCTAAAATGGGTGGTGAATTCACCTACCCCAAAATGGGATCCCACTGGTTTTGACCCCCCAAAAAGTGGTTCTAAAATTTGTGGTGCACCTACATCCCCCCCCCAAAAAAAATCGGAACCCTAAAACGGGTGGTGAATTCACCTGCCCCAAAATGGGATCCGAAACGGTTTTGACCACCACCGCCACATCTTGAATCCCAAACCTAGGCGACCTGTTGGAACAGTATCGATGGGTGTCCCTGGCAAATGGATATCAAACCAATGTCTAAACCAGTGGAACACATCTATGGCTGCTCAAACTACACTTGGTTGACGTCACAAGGGGGGGGCGCACATTTTCAGTTTTTAGCAGTTAAGTGGTTGGATTTCAACCACTAAATCACAATAAGCAAAAATGCAAAGAGCGTTCCCAACAACAACCATGATACTGACACTTGCTTCTTTCTCAGAACTCTATCTGGGCTGCAGCGCGGCCTTTGATCCCAAGACTTCCTCAATTTTGAGCCATGAGGTGGTTCCAATGAAGCCAGGAGATGCCGCCCCTTGCCAGTTGGATGGTTACTCTTCAGGCCATGGCACCCAGCGAAAAAAAATGGTAAGGATCTGCGATCTTCTTCAGGTTGTTTCCCTTCATTTGCAGGGAAGATGAGTGTATGAATACCTTCCATTTCCATTCTAAACCCAGGGATCCAAATCTTTCTAGAAACCCGAAACCCTGGAAAAACGGCGGATTTTTTTGAAAAAAACAAGAAGAAACGAGGGTGAAAAAAAGAGAAGAATGGGGAACGAGCCCCTAGAAGTGTTGTTTTTCCCCTGCGGGTTGTAAAGTTTGAAGCTTCAAAACACCACCCACGTTGTGGTTCTATTGGATTAATCTGCGGGGTGTTTTTCCAATGGCTGTGGAAGCTCAAGGCTCTTGTGATATCGGGTGTGATTCCTTCCGTCAGTTTGGGTCTGTATTTAGACCCACCCAACTGGGCGGCCAGTGGTTGCCCCTTTAAAGACCCACCCAAAAGTTGGTGTGCTTGGGTGTTCAGTTTGTAAGCTCTTGGTAGCCGTCCCGGCTAGTCACAAGTTCCCATGACTACTTTATCACTTTCAAGGGAACTCCCCACAACAAACCGAGCAGGACGTTCAAGTGAGTTGTTGCCAGTCGACCTTTCAAGGCGCAGAAGAGATCTGAGCTCCAGCCGCTCCAAACCCATGGAGTTTTTCAAAACCTTCTCAGCGTCGGATCGGTGAAGTGGTGTCCCATTTACACCAAGACTCCAGGATTTCAACCCAATCCCAACAAAAATCCTTACATGAAAAACACCTGAACATTGCAACTTGTAAATAGTGGTTGCCTTTTATCTTGGTGTTGAAAAAGCCACATGTTTCAAATGGAAAGGCAAAATGGGCATTTCTTTTAAGGAGCCCTGCCCAACATCAACCACCCAGGCCCACTCTGAGCCCAACGAGTCCAAGGAACTTGGGCCGAAGCCGAGACCCGGGACCCAAACGACCGACCGGGAAAACGGCACCCTTACTGTGGATGGACAAAATCCGTTCGCACCAAATTAAAACCATGGTTGAAACCGTTGTTTGTTGGTATTTACAAGGGAATCATTATCCCATGGCTTTAATTTGGTGGTGCGACATGGATTTCGTCCAGATCCACAGTAGGTCTTCTCTTCCGGGCGAAAAATGCGCGCGGCCGCGGGTGTTTCTTCTTCTCCCGGCGGTGTTCGGCGCCTTTTTGGGAAGAAGAAGCGCCTTCCGCCTTGGGTTGGGCATCGAACTTTCCGGCCTCGAACCCACCCCCCAGCCAGCCCCGGTTCGGCCTGTGGCTGTGACGTCCGACAGGGTACTCTTCATGGTGAGGTTCGGGGAGAGCCGCGCCTGGCCGTGCTCGCCCGCTTCGGCGTCCAACTTGAGAATTGTTCGGAGCCGAAGCGCCGAAGAATCGCTGGGAACCGCGATAGAAAAGGCGCGGGGCTGCGCTGGGCATCGCTGGTTCGGTGGTTTGGTAGGAATCGCTGGGAATGGATGGAGGCTTGCAACACCCCGTGTACCATCTACAAAAGCCAAAGCTTCAAATGAACCAAAGCTTTGCCAGGCAGGCGGTGTCCGCACCCCGTTTCGGGGAGAAAAAAAAGAAGAAGAAAAAACGCTCCCCGGTTTTTCTCGGACCACCGGCTCTGGAGACGGCAAAGACCCAGCGGTTGGGACAATCACGACCTGATGTGGCCATGGGTCAAAAGCCAAAATCCCGGTTACCCCCCAGTGAAATTGGTTCTAAATGGGTGGTGAATTCACCTACCCCAAAATGGGATCCCAGTGGTTTTGACAACCACAGCCATGTATGGGTGTGTCTTTCTTGAGAGAACCGCCAAACTACCTGGTTTGAAATTGGTGTCCCACGAAATGGTGCCCTCAAGAATGAGTGGTTGTCATTTGATCTCCCTTTACAACCATAAGAATGGGGTGCCCTCAAAAAAGACAGACCCATATATGGGTCTGTCGTTTTGGTTGCTTGCCTGGCACCCCGTATGGCTGTTTGTTGTTTTTTTCTTCGGTCAAACTCCCGTATTTGGCCGTATTTGCCCGTATGGCCATATTTGTTTTCGGTCATTTGCGTAAATCGCCCGTATGAAACCCATATTTGTTCGACATGTTGTTGAACAAAAAGCCGCACAAATCCGTATGGCCATTTGTTTTTCGTTCAAAGGCGTATGGCCTAAAAAAGAACGGCCATATGGGGTCCCAGGTGGGTTTTATAGGGATAGAAAAGGACAAAGTCGCCCTAAGACCAGACACCCCCATATAAGCCACGTTTCCCCTAAGGACATGTGGAAATTGAGTGAGTCCCCTGGATTTTGTGCGTTGTGAGTTCTGTCCCCAAATGGACCGTAGACCTGTAATTGTGTGTTCGTGTTTTTGGTGTCCGTGGAAAAAAGGGTTGAAACTAAAGGCCACGTTTCTTTTTTGAGGCTCTTGTTTCCCTTCTCAGGTTGGTTTAGAGGGGAGCCAAAGCGAGAACCAACACCAAGTTCTCTAAAACTCACTTTTGGGGTGGTTCCCTAGTAAACTTCGTGGCCACTTCAGTTGAGCACCCAATACCCTGTGACTGTTGGTGCCTGTGGCCCCCTCTTTCATTGCGCCATCTACAATCGAATATTACAACCGAACTAGATTACAAACTCAGCTGCTCTTGCACCTGGCTGCTGTCTCCGCCAATGCATGGATCACCCCAGGTCACAACAGCCCCAGATGCAAGAATGGCAGCAAAAGCACTGTCGGCAGCTGCTTGGCTGCTCTTGCACCTGGCTGCTGTCTACCCTGAATTCTGGTCACCCCAGCTCACAACAGCCCCAGATGCAAGAATGGCAGCAAAAGCGCCATCGGCAGTTGCTTGGATGTGCTGGACGCTCCTCAGCTGCTCTTGCACCTCGCTGCTGTCTCCGCCGAAGTGTGGATCACCCCAGGTCACAACAGCCCCAGATTCAAGTATGGCAGCAAAAGCCACGCCCCAGGTCACAACATCGCCGGATTCAAGAATGGCAGCAAAAGCCTGGGTAGTTGCTTGGATGTGCTGGACGTTCCGCAGCTGCTCTTGCACCTGGCTGCTGTCTCCGCCGTAATCTGCACAACCCCAGGTCACAACAGCCCCAGATTCAAGAATGGCGGCAAAAGAACCGGCCCTTGCTTGGATGTGCTGGACGTTCCGCAGCTGCTCTTGCACCTGGCTGCTGTCTCCGCCAGGATCTGCACGACCCCAGGTCACAACAGCCCGAGCTTCCAGAATGGCAGCAAAAGCGCCGGCACTTGCTTGGATGTGCTGGACATTCCTCAGCTGCTCTTGCGCCTGGCTGCTGTCGCCGCCGAAGAATGGATAACCCCAGGTCAAGACAGCCCCAGATTCAAGAATGGCAGCAAAAGCACCGGCACTTGCTTGGATGTGCTGGACGTTCCTCAGCTGCTCTTGCGCCTGGCTGCTGTCTCCGCCGTCTTCTGGATCACCCCAGGTCAAAACAGCCCCAGATTCAAGAATGGCAGCAAAAGCATATTCTGTTGCTGCATGTGCTGGACGTTCCTCAGCTGCTCTTGCACCTGGCTGCTGTCTCCGCCAATGTATGGATCACCCTAGGTCACAACAGCCCCAGATGCAAGAATGGCAGCAAAAGCACCGTCGGCAGCTGCTTGGATGTGATGGACGTTCCTCAGCTGCTCTTGCACCTGGCTGCTGTCTCCGCCGTAATCTGGATCACCCCAGGTCACAACATCGCCGGATTCAAGAATGGCAGCAAAAGCCTGGATAGTTGCTTTGATGTGCTGGACGTTCCGCAGCTGCTCTTGCACCTGGCTGCTGTCTCCGCCGTAATCTGCACAACCCCAGGACACAACAGCCCCAGATTCAAGAATGGCAGCAGAAGCACCGGCACTTGCTTGGATGTGCTGGACGTTCCGCAGCTGCTCTTGCACCTGGCTGCTGTCTCCGCCGTGATCTGCACGACCCCAGGTCACAACAGCCCGAGATTCCAGAATGGCAGCAAAAGCGCCGGCACTTGCTTGGATTTGTTGGGCATTCCTCAGCTGCCCTTGCGCCTGGCTGCTGTCGCCGCCGAAGAATGGATAACCCCAGGTCAAGACAGCCCCAGATTCAAAAATGGCAGCAAATGCACCCGCGCGAGTTGCTTGGATTTGTTGGACATTCCTCAGCTGCTCTTGCGCCTGGCTGCTGTCTCCGCCGTCTTTTGGATCACCCCAGGTCAAAACAGCCCCAGATTCAAGTATGGCAGCAAAAGCCACGCCCCAGGTCACAACATCGCCGGATTCAAGAATGGCAGCAAAAGCCTGGGTAGTTGCTTGGATGTGCTGGACGTTCCGCAGCTGCTCTTGCACCTGGCTGCTGTCTCCGCCGTAATCTGCACAACCCCAGGTCACAACAGCCCCAGATTCAAGAATGGCGGCAAAAGCACCGGCCCTTGCTTGGATGTGCTGGACGTTCCGCAGCTGCTCTTGCACCTGGCTGCTGTCTCCGCCAGGATCTGCACGACCCCAGGTCACAACAGCCCGAGCTTCCAGAATGGCAGCAAAAGCGCCCTTGCACTTGCTTGGATGTGCTGGACATTCCTCAGCTGCTCTTGCGCCTGGCTGCTGTCGAAGAATGGATAACCCCAGGTCAAGACAGCCCCAGATTCAAGAATGGCAGCAAAAGCACCGGCACTTGCTTGGATGTGCTGGACGTTCCTCAGCTGCTCTTGCGCCTGGCTGCTGTCTCCGCCGTCTTCTGGATCACCCCAGGTCAAAACAGCCCCAGATTCAAGAATGGCAGCAAAAGCATATTCTGTTGCTGCATGTGCTGGACGTTCCTCAGCTGCTCTTGCACCTGGCTGCTGTCTCCGCCAATGTATGGATCACCCTAGGTCACAACAGCCCCAGATGCAAGAATGGCAGCAAAAGCACCGTCGGCAGCTGCTTGGATGTGATGGACGTTCCTCAGCTGCTCTTGCACCTGGCTGCTGTCTCCGCCGTAATCTGGATCACCCCAGGTCACAACATCGCCGGATTCATGAATGGCAGCAAAAGCCTGGATAGTTGCTTTGATGTGCTGGACGTTCCGCAGCTGCTCTTGCACCTGGCTGCTGTCTCCGCCGTAATCTGCACAACCCCAGGACACAACAGCCCCAGATTCAAGAATGGCAGCAAAAGCATAAGTAGTTGCTTGGATGTGCTGGACTTTCTCCAGCTGCTCTTGCACCTGGCTGCTGTCTCCGCCGTAATTTGGATCACCCCAGGTCACAACATCGCTAGAGTCAAGAATTGCAGCAAAAGCATATTCAGTTGCTTGGATGTGCTGGACGTTCCTCAGCTGCTGTTGCGCCTGGCTGCTGTCTCCGCCCGAGTCTGGATCACCCCAGGTCACCACAGCCCCAGATGCAAGAATGGCAGCAAAAGCTTTGCCACTTGCTTGGATGTGCTGGACGTTCTTCAGCTGCTCTTTCACCTGGCTGCTGTCTCCACCGTAATCTGCACTACCCCAGGTCACAACAGCCCCAGATTCAAGAATGGCACCAAAAGAATATTTTGTTGCTTGCATGTGCTGGACGTTCCTCAGCTGCTCTTGCACCTGGCTGCTGTCTCCACCGAATGCTGGATCACCCCAGGTCACAACAGCCCCAGATTCAAGAATGGCAGCAAAAGCATATTTTGCTGCTTGGATGTGCTGGACGTTCCTCAGCTGCTCTTGCACCTGGCTGCTGTCTCCACCATATACTGGATGAGCCCAGGTCACTGTCTCGCCTCCTCGGCCGTGCAAAGCAAATGCCCCGCCTGTGGCAGCCAATGTGCCCAGCTGCGCTCAGCGTGGCTGTTTCATGGAACTGCCGGCCTTTCGCAGTGAGCTTCAACCGGCGCTGGAAATGCTGCTGCGCTACAGCCTTCAGCTCGCTGATTGGCGTTGCCGGTGAGACTTCTACAGAGCAACCATCTCCATTGGGCAAGTGAACATCCACCTTCATGAGCCGCGCGCACTCAAATTGCAAAATGCGAACCAAAGACAGAATATAGAGTATACGGTATACGTCAATATACATATAAAGACATATATATATATATATATTATATATATATATATGTATATACACGTGAAATGGTATGAATGGCGGACGGCAATCAGATTCGGCCATGTGCCATCCAAATCCCTGGGCCTTGAAAAGTCCAAATCGTCGGCTGAAGCCAAAGATCGAGATGGGATGCTCTTCGGCGAGGCCAGCTGCATGTGGCCCAAAACCGTCCGTCGTTTTTTGGGGGGCCCAAACCTTCCTCCGTTGCCATGGCACCCGTGGGGAGGCACTTGGAAGATCAATTCCCTCTCGCTTGACTATCAACTTTAATAG